CCTCCCGCTCCTGCTCCGGCTCGTCCCGGGGGTCCCCGGCTCTCCGTCTGCGGCCGCCGCCGGGCCTCCCCGCCGCTCAGCGCCGCTGCCTGCCGGGCATCGCACGCACCGCGCCCGGGTGGCTCCCGCGCTCTCCGCCTCGCTCCGCCGCCGCTGGACCAGCCCGCCCTCGCTCCTTCAGAGCCCGGGCTGTTTTTTCCCCGCGCCGCGGCGGCCGCCGGCTTTCCCCGCCGAGCCGCTCCCCCTCGCCTGACAGGGCGCCTCGGCACACGGCACCAACGCCCGCCCCGAGCAGCGGCGACAGCCGCGGGTACAGCACCGGCCGCGGCGGTGGCGGCAGCTGGGCCTCCGCGGAGCTGGGCTGCGGGGTGCGCATGCGCGCCGCTGCCAACCCCTCAGGTTCCTCCCCCCCGCCCGGCGCCCCAGCCGGAGCGAAGCTGGGGCTTAAATTATCCTCTGCGAAAATCCCAGACGCTGGCTGAATTTCTCCCACCCCAATCGCGCTGCCAGAGTATGCAGCTGCTTCTCCTGCAGCTGGCATAGTAAAAATGTTGACGGCGAACAAGCAGCAGGAAACCTTTATTTCAATCGCGATCATTACAGCGGGGTTTACGCTTTCGCCGGTTGAGGAGGTACACGCTCCCGGCCTCTGGCTGCAATGTTGTTGTCGCTTGTTTGACGGGCTTTGCTTTGGGTCGATTTGGGTTTGGGTTTTGAAAAAGAGCGTCTAGGCAACAATTATGTCAGAGGCAAGGAGATGACAGACTTAAGAGGGTGCTAAGGAAAGGAGAGAGACCTGGAGGGGAGAAAGCGGATTCCTTCCTGAAGCTTTCCTGGGTAGAATGAGTCTACCCGTAGCAGGTGGTTGCTAGAATGGAAGAGGCTGCCAAAGGGAGCCGCTCCAAGGCTGGGTGTCTGCCCTGACCGGTGACACACCACCCCGAATCCAGTCGGCTCGCTGGGGTGGGTGGGGATAGGGGCGGGGAGAGTGAACACCACGCTGCTACTCCTTTCCAGAACCCTAAATCCGCCCTCAAGCTGATGATCTGCTCAGTAATCCCCGATGGCTTCTCCACTCTTGAGAAGGCAAAGGAGGGTGGGATGAGGATTTTTGCTCAGACCTCTCGCTGCTTCCCTGGGCGAGTCTCGCGCAGATGCTTGGATACAAAAGTCTGGCTCAAGTTTGAAAATGTAGAGGGATGAATCAAGCTGGGGGGAATCCTGCCTCTCCAAGGCACTGTGGCTGGGAAGCAGGGGTACGTGACTAGGAGAGATGCGGAAGATGGAAAAGCCGTGAGGGAGGAGGGAAGTGCATCAGGACTAGTTCCAACTCTGGGGTGGGGACTGGGAGGACCAGCTCGCGGTTACCTACTCCCCTCCCCCTCTGGTCCTGCGAAAAGCCACAGAAAACCCTTAAAGGGTTTCTTAGTTCCAAACCGAAATCAGAAGCACCCGCCCTCCTCTTTGTGATTGGCAGCCTTCTGCCCCTCCAGAGAGATTGTCGTCACAGTATTGGTGGATGTCACCAGCTTTCATGGACAGTGGGCAAACCAACTACGACCCGGGCTCGTGGGTTTCGGGAAATGTAGTTCACCACCCAGCTTCCGCATCCCAAGACCACGTATTACCCTTGGACCCTATACAATTTTGTTTTGCTGTGTACAATTTATTGAATTAGGCAGTTAATTTTGCAGGATGCAACGAACAGTAACACAGATTCGAGGACCTTATTAGGCTATTCCCAAGTGGCTCTGAACTTTTCCTGAAACGGATTTTGAGTGTCAGGCGTTTGTGTCAGGTACTGAAGACACAGCCTAACAGGGACAAATTTAACGTAAATAAGTAATTGTGCGACAACGCGATGAGTCCAGCGATGGAATAGTGTAGAACTGCAGACAGCCACTTACCTGGCCGGGGAAGGCTTGGAAACGGAGACACTCACCATAGACTGTGCCCGATGAGCTGACCCGCTGAACGGGAGACAGAAGTCCATTGGGAGGCAGTGGGGCGGGGGAGGGGGTTTGTTAGGGTTACCTGGACAGCTTTTTAAAAACACAAATGATTGATTCCATGGGGGAACTGCAAAAGAGAGATCACATTCCCACAGGATTTTGTGATCTGCCTTTACATTTAGGTTTAAAATAAATCTAATTGTCCATCATTGAATTACAAAACTTTGCAGAAAGGACAGCTTCTTGTTGAGAGGCCTTGGGGTGTAGTGGAAAAATCCTATGCTTTGCTGTCTGCCAGACACGAATATCAATCCAGGCCCTAGGAACATGTGTAACCTTGGGAAATTTTTTTAATTTTCCTAAAAGTCAGACTCCTAATGTGTAAAATGAGATTAATACTAACTTCTCCTAATTGGAGATTTTATCCTCCTAAAAGGCAAGAAAATGAGAAGTTTGTACTATACTTAACACTGTAGATACACACAGAAGTGTCAGTTTCCTGTTCTACCATCAGTATCCTTGAGGTAAAAAAGACTTCAAAAGCTCCCCAATTCAAGCCAATTATCTACTTTTGTTTTGATTTGCATGCTTTCTCCCATCAGTCTGGCTTTCTCAAAACTTCAGTAGTAAAAGAATACCTGAAATTTATGACAAATGTAGGTTAGTTGTAAGAATTTGCAATCTGTCCTCTCTCCAAGCTCAGGGACACTGGGACATATCCAGAAATCCATTTGATCAAAAATACCAATGCCTCAAAATTACTGCCTTTATTATGGCAAAAATAAAATTATGGATCTTCAAACTCATGGGATTTCTTTCAAGTTAGTTGCAATTAATCAATTTGTTATCAAAATTAGAAATGAAAATTTTAAAAATTGTTTATTTATTTATTGAGACAGAGTCTCACTTTGTCACCCTCTTTGAGTGCCTTTACGTTATAGCTCACAGCAGCTTCCAACTCTTGGGCTCAAGCAATTCTCTTGCCTCAGACACCCAAGTAGCTGGGACTACAGGCTCCAGCCACAATGCCCAGCTATTTTTAGAGACCAGGTTCTCACTCTGGCTCAGGCTGGCCTCAAACTTGTTAACTCAGGCAATCTACCCACCTCAGCCTCCCAGAGTGCTAGGATTACAGGGGTGAGCCACCACAGTGCCTGGCCTAAAATTTAAGAATTTCATTTAAAATTAATTGAAATTTTTAGGTTTAGAATGAGTAAAAACTAAATAATTTGTATTGTAATTTTTTTTGAGACAGAGCCTCAAACTGTCCCCCTGGGTAGAGTGCTGTGGCATCACAGCTCACAGCAACCTCCAACTCCTGGGCTCAAGCTAGTGTCCTGCCTCAGCCTCCCAAGTAGCTGGGACCACAGGCACCCACCACAACACCCGGCTACTTTTTGGTTGCAGCCATCATTGTTCTTTGGCGGGCCCGGGCTGGATTTGAACCCACCACCTTAGGTGTATGTGGCTGGCGCCTTAACCACTTGAGCCACAGATGCTGAGCCAATAATTTGTATTATTTATTTTAAAATTTAGTGCCATGCACAGAATTTTACCCATAATAGTGTCTCACAAAAGTTGTGTTTTGTTTTGTTTTGTTTTTTGAGGCAGGATCTAGCTTTGTCACCAGGGCTAGAGTGTGACGGCACCACCATACCTCACTGCAACCCCCAAATCCTGGATTCACATGATCTTCCTCCCTTGGCCTCAGAAATAGGTGGGATTATATGTGTGTGCCACCATTCTGGGCTAATTTTTATGGGGAGGGAGATTGAGATGCTTTTGCTCATAATGGTCTTGAACCCCTGGTCAAAAGGGGTCCTTCCACTTTGGCCTCCCGAAATACTATGATTACAAGCATAAGCCACCATGCTTTGACTATTTTGTTTCATTTTAATGAATGAATACGAAAGTTAATTTCCAGCAAATCAATTGCTTTTTTCATTTGGATTGATTTTGGGCAAGTGGCCTTCTCCTAAATGGAATTCATTCTTACCTGCTTTTTAAAGAATGGACTAGGACATGATGAGGTAACAGCACGACACTGACAAATTATAGCTACGTTACATTTAGCCACGGCAGGGTAGCACGAGCATCACTTAGTTAATACAATGAAAATAAAAAGATAAATTTTTTAAAAAGGATATCAGACACGAAAAGAAAGGCAGTCCACTACATTGTCAGATATAGAAGATTAAACACCAAGACTTCATTACATTCCTAAATCTACCAGTCCTTATTATGTAGTTTAAAGGCCATCAGAGTAAAGAAGGCTCTAGCACTAGCAGGATGCTGCTTGAGATAAAGATAAGAGGAATTGAAAATAAACATTTTAAGTAGAAATTATTGGTGAAAAGTCTTCGGAAGGTAGACCAAGTCTATCTCACCTGCTAGATTCATCTTTCTTGACTTATTTTCAGCTTATCGAGTCCCAAGGGATGTGTGCATGACAATAATTGACTCACTACACCACTTAGCAGCATATTGAGTTTAAAGGATTGGTAAATTGTAGCAGAGATACCTTGGTTTGCCTACTTCAAGCCCCTTTTTCTGAATGGGTTCCCTCTGCTAAACGATGGGTCTGGGCAACAGTGTTTTAACCAGTGAAACTGTTTCCTGTATAAACTGATTAGATCTGAGGCAGCCACCTGAAACAAGCCAAGCCAAGAGATCATCCTCTGGGAATTTGGAATTGAATTATAAAGTTACTAATTAGTCTAAAATAAGAGGAAGCTGTGTAGACCTAAGGCTAGGTGGCATTTAATTTCTGTACGCTGAAGCCAGGAGTGCCCATGGGAGGA